ATGGTCGCTCCCCACGTCCTCTCCTATGGAGAAGTCTTGAAAGAAGGGGAGAAACTGTGCGTTGCCCAAAGCAAGGTCAATTCAATATAAATTGCCCTGATTGGTACAATGGTGGGTGGGGGACTGATCGTTTGAAATCGTGAAGCTGCTGGAAGCTATGAAATAGCTCCTATTGCGTTTGAATTAGCACAAAAGGAAAGATCGGGAGAATGTGCGTTGAGATCACTAAGAAGAATCGAAGGACAGTTTATTGAATTAATAACTTCGAGATCTGAAGAAAAAGGGGGGAGTAGGGGCGGGAAATAGGCGTGAAAGATTGTAATGTAGGTTGTTCGGAAACGTACTTTTATACCAATTAGGGTTAAAGACCCAGTGATGGGCCACAGCACATAAAAATTCCAATAGCAAAGATTCCAAACCAAGCCTACCCATGTTGTGACATATGCTAGCAGTATTCAAGCACATAGACACTTTAGAGGTGTTCATGGAACAAATGCCTTGTTTTTGGAATTTTCCTGCGAAGTGACCCATCACTGAGTACCCGCCATTAACAGGCCCATCACTGGGTCTTTTACCCTATTTCAGAGTTAGGGTGCCAGCTACGATTAAGTCAGAATCGAGATTACTGAGAACATAAACCGCTGAGCCCCCTTGATACGGCCTGGAACGGGATGCAGGGCTTGTAATTATAGTAATTCTCCATGAGAGGTGCTTCCTTACGTTTTAATTCGCTCAAACAAATTATGCTAGACCTTACATGTTCGAGATAACGGAGAATTTCGGCGCGCTTGCCTTAGAAGGCATTGAATTTAAATGAAAGATTGAGACCGAGGATTGTTGCGTCATTGATTAACAGGAGAAGTGTGGTAGGTCGGCAGAGCAGAGGGTGAGGGAAGTGAGATGCTGTACACCTGCAGGGCGAGGAATATGATCTGCAGCTGCTGCAGAATGATTAGCAGCACGATGTCGCGCTCGTCGGGCACACGCGCGGTGGGAAAGACGGGAACGGCAGACGCGGCGGTGAATGCGGGCGCGAATGTAGATGGACCGGCGGCCGGGAACGAGCGTGTCTGCGGCAGAAACGGCTGCGACCTGAGAAGCGGGCGCAGTGCCCCAAGCAGGGCGAGCGGGAGGCCATGGAGGGACGAGCATTGTAGCTGTCCTAGGTGGGGAGGGTCGCGGGTAATTGAACGATGGCTTAGAGAAAGTTCCAAGGGTCTTTCGCTCCCTTAAATCCGCCTGAATCTTTTTGACTAGAAGCGAGCCGGCAAATCTGGGGTCACTGGCGATCTGCCGCCGTCTTTCCTGCCGTTTGGAGCAGGCGGCGGAGTTCGCCATGTGGCTTGCCAGGCAGTGGCTGCATTTAGGGGGGAGCCGTTGTTTCTGGCCTGGCAATTTTTTGAGGCGTGCCCTTGCCCGCACAGTAAGAGCAGGTGTCAAGGTCCGCCTTGCGTCGTCCAATGTAGTGCCCATATTGGAGTCACTTGAAACATTGGGTGATTCTGGGTTGGAATTAAATTCTTCAACCCTCAGGCGTAAGCAGCCAACCTTTAGCGCACCTTCTTCGATGAGGTCTCGCGCGTTAGGGCAATCAGTAGCCTTGACAAGGATGAGGGGGAAGAGGCGCGCCGGTCTTTGTCTTGCGCATCCTAACTACACCGTTCTCAGTGAAGGAGATCCCGTTCTGTAATGCAAGGACGTCTCTTAAAGTGTTAATGTCCTCATCGATCCCTACGCCCTTCACTACAAACTCCACGATAGGGGTCCTACTTCAGGGAAAACTTCGCCTCCTATCCCTGACTCCGCCCTTTTACTCGCGATGTCGGACGGTTTACTGAGGCTCAAGACGAAACCTGCGGTACGGGTGGGGCGATGTCAAGCAGCTGAGTTAGAGGAAATGCGTTCGTGAGTCCTAACAAAGGCAATCTTCTGTTGGAATTTCGGTGAAAGCGGCTGCACGAAAAGCGGGTTCGAGAAAAGGTTTGGGTTGATGGCAGGTTGAGGTTGGGAAGTGCTGGCATTGTGCTTTTGGCAGTGCATGAGGGGGAGAGAGGAATTAGCAGGCAAAGAGGGAGGCGTTCTAGGATGAGAAGGGGAGAGGTAAGGAGCGGAGTTGGTTGGAGGAAGAGCAGGGGCCTATTTCTCGAAGCTTACAAGTCTACAAGTTTACAAGTTTACAAGTACTTGTAAATTCTGTTTCTTGAAAATCTTTTAGGAAACGCTTGTATTTTATTACTGCAGGGTCAAAGTTCACAATTCCACAAAAGAACATGGTACGAACGGAGAGCACATTGGCTGTGCTCACCCTCCTTCGGGAAGAGAAAACAATTCTGTTCAGAGTGCCATCAACGCAACCACAAACGTAGGGCATTCCGGGTCGCACTTGAGTCAACCCATAGAACTTAGTTGCAATCTCAGCAACATCCGTTGTTGGCCAGTCCACGTGGATTGGGAAAAGGGTTGAGTTGATGGCGTTCACAACAGTGAACGCATCTGTACACAGATGCTTTGGAGACATTGTGCATGTACTGCCCTCCATTGCCAAGCCAGTGAAGAGCAATGAGGATTTGATCCATTGGTGCCAGTGCATGACTTCTCGCAGTGGGTCGTTCGAGACGAAGCCGCATACTCTGAAGAAGGTACTCCATATCACTCGGTTTCAACCGAAACCGCTCATGGAAGCAGTAAATATTCAGCAAATCAAATCTTGCTCGTGGCTGAACCACTCGTTGATGAACTTCGTGCACATCGCGCACCGGCACATCATCCTCAGGATCATCAGAATCGCTAGAAACCATGGCGTTACTTGCAGTTGTGAACAGTTTAACCTACGTCCAGAGACTAGTAAGAGTTCTCTGGTGTTTTACAAGTATATGCTCCCTGACTTCTCATTTGAGAAACGTAAACTTGTATTTTGCCCAACAACACTAATAAATTACAAGCGCACACAGTTGTAATTACAAGTATGATCCTAATTCTTCGAGAAACACAAACTTGTTACAAGACTAATACTTGTAACTTGTACTACTTGTATGCTTCGAGAAACGGGCCCCAGGTGTCATTTTCTTTTGCACCGAAGGAGGCTTCGGAGAGGAGGAACGAGAGGGTGGCTTTTTTGAGTTTGAGGCAGGGGAGAGCTGTCGCCTGAAGCGGAGGGGGGGGGGCCCTTTCCCCCCAGTCTTCTCTTTCCAGGCATTCTAGGTGCCTTGATAGAAAAGCAGTGAGAGAAAGAAAATTGCAGGACTAAGAAAAATAGGGAAGCGACTTGCCTTTAAAAAGACAATTCGCAAAATACGGTAACTGCAGCAGGAGGAACTGAGGATGTCTCAAAACAGACAATTCAGAGCTGCCGGAACAAAAGGCCACGACAGCTGGGGAAAGGAAAGAACCTGTCCGAGGACTCTGATAGGTAAACAGGTGCCTGGGAGTGGACACCTGTATTCTCTCCACTTTATATCTCAAACAGGACTCCTTGACTCCCATTGTCAGTTAGTTCCGAGAGGATCTGTGATATTTTCGGCGGCTCCACTCAGAGGGAAATGATGCTCTGGTCTGAGTCTTTCTCGGTTTCTATGTGTCTTGACCAGGTATACGTAAAAACCTAGATGTGGCGATTCGACTTTTTTCTGCGGACACTTAGCTCCAATTCTCCAAGTTCGGGTTGTCCTGCCAAGCGGAGTTACGGCCACCTTGCGGGTCTAGAATGTAGCTGGCACCCTCCCATTGACCCCACATACAGAGGGAAGGGTTATTGACCACCTCCGCTCCGGTTAGAGCAAGGGATCCTTGCTCGCAGCCTGCTTTGACGTCACTGGCTGCCTCCTCCTCTCGCTGTGATGTTCTCTATGACTGGAATTATAATTACCGGTCGGGGTTCAATTTCCTCTGGTGAGGTCGTGGGGTTTATTCGTTTACCGTGACAATATGTTGAGGATGGAAGGGGATCGCCTACCCAAAAAATGTGACTGCAAAGGACAGCTGGCAAGAGAAGACGGCATCACCCCAGGCTTACATGGATTAATACGGTCTTGCGAAACAGCAGCATGCATTTGCAATCGGCCAAAAGAAAGGCAGAAGGTCGTCAGAGTCAAGACTATGCTAGACGAGAGCACGATCGTTAGGACAACTCGTAGAAAGAGCAATACCCACAAGCACGTCACCAGAAAAGGTCGAAACAGAAATTAGCTGGGGTTCATTTAGGCTTAGAGTGCTGGCTCCGGTCCCGTCTCCCAGTGTTGCCGGATGTCGTGCCGAAATAATGCCAAATTCAAGACTTTCAACCTTCGTATCGGTGTCTGCATCTTCTATGTTTTATGCGTGTGAAATTTTTGTGCTGGGTTCATGAGATGAGCTGAGAATGAAGCGGCGGGTAGCAGCGATTGATCGATGTGGTGGGATATGGAGACATCTTTTCCGGACATCCCTGCATTAACAGGACGGCGCGGACCATGGAGTTCATGCTTACTGGAGGCATTCCCTCCTCAGACCTTGTGCAGATGGTTCGAGGAACTCCAGACAGGCCTGACGATTCACGTCCCACTGAAAAGGTTAATGAAACGCGAAACGGACCTCAAATCGGTTTAACGTTACATGTCCTCTGAAATGGTTCGTAAAAGTATGACTTGACCTGCGATTGGCCTGATACACTTCCTCAACGAGATGTCTCGAAGACTACGGATTCACCTTAACAGGGCCCTAAACACTTCGCGTGCGCTCACGGAGATACCAGTTTTTCAGGGGTGCGTATCAAAATACCGAATTCATCGAAATTCATATCGCCGAAAACTCGAAATGTCGATTAATCAAATGGACGAAACTCTAAACATCGAATAAATTGGCCGAAAGCACATTTCGCCGAAGCAAATCTTTTCGAGGAAAGCTGATTTTCGTCGAAAGATTGAAATGCCAGAATTTAGCTATTTTCGAATCATGGTTTTCATTGCCAAGTCAAGGTCAAATGTGAAAGACACGGATATTTGCACTCATCTCAAAGAGAAGCATTATAGGAAAGACTTCTCAAGAAAGACATTGCAGCGATCCCCATAGGTACGCGTGATTGTCAGAATTCTGTTGTTCTTGTCAATCTCTGCTTTCTTTTTCCCTGGAATGTGGCCCGCTTCCAACTTCACCATGACATGCTCTATCACTGACTGCTCTACTTTGCACTGTAACAAGAATGCGTAAAAATGTATGTGCTTTCCAAATAATGACGATGCCCGTCGGTGCCATGCCTCAAGATTGTTTTTCGTTCGGGGCTCACTGGAGAGGGTTCGACCTCGAACATTCCACAGCTGCGGTGGATAGACAGCCCCATTTCTGGCTCTGCCCCGTCGTCTTCTTCCATCGACGTAAGTTTCCCGGAAGTACTGCACAACATGTTTGGCTTCAGATGGCATGGTTGCTTCCAATTCAGCAAATACTTTCTGGACGTCTTCCACTGGAAAGAAGGCGAGACATGTCATCATACGAATCTTTATGGCAATGTCATCATCTCTGTAGAACTGAGTTAGGCCCAGTTCTTGGATTTTCCGCCACATTCTCTGGCAGAAATGATAGAAACAGGCCTTGTGCCTAATGTGAGGGAAGTCATAAGCCATGGCTGCAACTACTCCCGATTCAAAATCTGAGCAGAACGTTTGTAAAGAAGAGGAACCTGATAGGGCATTGATGATGAATTGGAAAGCAGAAGTATGAGTTTGTTTGGTCTTGTCTGGTAGTAGGAGGTAAGCAAGAGGGACGACGCGGCCATGAACAGCAGCGTGGATCGAATTAAAGTCGAGCAAAACCGTCATCCCGTGTTCGAGTGCGATTCCGAACGTCCCATCGCCGTGCCAAGTGGTTGCATGGTGAAGGTATTCCAAATTCTTTGGCGTGGCGAAAATCATCATCCGAAGGGCATTATGCACATGATCATGAATGAGCCAGTCCACACCCTCCGTTGTACAGCTGTAGCTACCGTCAACCTGAAAATCAGCGACTGTGGGTGGCAATTCAGGAATTTCTGTTCTCTTCCTTAGAGCAACCTGTTTCAAGGCATTCAGGGATGGGGCGTATCCTCGATCTGCTGCCTTCAACCCAGCTATCTGAAATAGCAAACACAGAAGCTAGCTTGCGTAGGTCTACTTACTAAACAGAGGTGCAGCCCTTCATGGAATGAAAAAAAATCTTAAAGTGTGATGAAGTCTGAATTGAATTGCTCACCGAAGCAGAAGTCGCCGCTGCAACGGAAGCCATAGAGTGCTGAGAAATGGCATTTTTCACATTCCAGGCAACTTTTTCTTTCACGATTTTCTCCCTGGATGGGCCGTGCCCTGGGTGCTCTATAGAAGGGGACTTCACCATAATTTTTGGGTCCATCAGTGTCACAGCCGTTTGCCGGCAACCGGGCTCTGCGCATTTCCAGTATTTCTTCCCGCGAAGCGTCTAGGAGTAGTTCAAGGTCAAGAACATCAACGTCCCATGTTCACTTAGTAACTTCATAGCCTTGATAGCTTAATTTTGCATGAGACTCTTTGGGCTAATTGAAGCTCTTACTTAACGTGTTACATCAGCCTGACTAATAGCGGACGACGATTTCACGAAAAAATAAAAGGTTGTCCTACAGCTAGGAACAAACAGGTGTAGAAATATTGGGGGAATAACAAAAAAAAATCGTAAACCTGGCGTGCTCAGTCTATAAGGCTGAATGATTCTTCAGTGCCTCACCTTGTTCTTCAGGAAGAGATATCCATGTATCACCAACACATCCTGCCCTCGTTGAGACTTGATTATTTCAGACATAATTCAAATGCAAAATGCACAGCAGGATGCAACCAGACAGTAACCAGGCCACAACTGACTAGACACATGACTCGAGACGGTCCAAAAAAGAAGAAAATAAACCGCTATTTCTTTCGGCCTTGTAAGCCTTCTGCGAACTGAGCCTTTCGATCTCCAGACACTTCTATGAATGAATCCTTCGATGTATGGTCGCGTTCGCGTAACCGTTTTTCGACCAAATGTCTATTCGTCGATATGAGTTTCGATTATTCGATACCAACCCGTTTTTCAGTCCTTTCGCCCAGCCTATGGCCGAAAAAGTCAGCCTTGTTGGCATCGAGCTCCAGGCTAAGGAAACTGAGGCTTAGGTCAGATCGACAGGGTAAAATGTCCGGTATGCAATTGCTAAGTTTGAGTCCAAGGCAAATGTGGTTTTATTTGTACCAACATAAATTCTCGTGACACACTATATCGTGTCATTCCTCCGTGTTCGATGACATCGGTCGATGTAGGAGGTCGTCTACTATTATCTTGAAAACTTGGAAAAGCCAAGAGCATCATAAGCATACGGGAATTGAAAAAAAAACTGAATCGAAAGACATGATCTACGTCAATCCTAATTGTCTATTGGTTTCATTATAATACCCTTCACTCATGAGCAAATCTTAAAGAAAATACTCATGTTTAGTGGAAATGGAAGCATTGGCGACACGTCTTGCCAAAAAAGGGGTGCATTTGCACGGTCCGGTCAGAGAAGAAAAATGATCTCTTATGAGCGATCTCTTAGTGTGTGTGGTCCCCTTGGATTGTCTTCACTCGTCCAGCAGCTGACTCAAGGTGTTCATCCCTAGAAGCGAGTTGTGTCTTCGTATTTGTGCTTAGTTTGGTGTGCATGCAATTTTCATGTGTTATCTCAGGGACTCCCATTTTGGAAATTCACCAACTTTCACATGTAGCTGCTTCATATCGTGTCGCTTTTCGTTCATTCCATGCCCTTCCTGTATTAAGTACTCCTACAATTTATTGGTAAGTATCTAATTCATAAAAATATTGCTGACTACGTCAAGAATATTCATTGATTTATTATCAAAATAGTTCCAATGTTCATGTAGGCTAGTTAGATACTCGTACGCACCATGTCTCGGTCATCCAGGCCGCTTGTAGCCGGACACCATGTGCATGTTAATATTCAAAGCATAATATAGTGAAGTACTGAAATCTCTTCAGTGCAAAAATAAAAATTAGTTCGCTGACTCCTTTTATATGAAGGTCCATTGTTAACACATTGCGTACAGGACATTTACCCCGTGGATCCGCCGCTCTGACCCAAGCCCCAGTTACCTTAGCCTGAGGCTCGATGCCTACAAGGCTAGGAATTTTTCGGCTATAGGCTAAGCGAAAGGACTCAAAAACGGAGATCTCCATGAACGTATCGCAAGGTGTTAATGTGATGACGGAATCAACATATACGAGAAGTTGGTGACGAGTTAAGGTACTAAGGGAAGATGAAAATTGACCCCCCTAGAATCAAATTCTGGCTTATAATTATTGTAGAGGACCCCAAGGGAAGGGCCCTGG